CAGTTAGGTTTCACTTTCACCCGAGAGCCTGCAGGAGTCATGGGCAGGGTGTGTAGGGAGTGGGGGTTGCTCCGCCATGAGGAAGTTCGACTTAAAGACTCGTCCCAGGGGCGTTTCTGGTACCAAAAGGCGTTTCTGGTCCCCACCTGTCGTTTTGCTCCTCAGCATGGCTTCCTTAAAAGCGCTGCAGGATTTCTCAAAGACGCATGAATGAGTCAAAGCAAGGCTTTGGGCATGTTTTTTTATGAGAGTATAACATTATAACATGATATAAAACTCAAAAAAGTTGATTTTACATAATATTGTCCCTTTAAGTTATCTGTGTACAGTAGTGTACGTTTTAGGGCACGAGTTTGTTTTGTTCCTGGTTTTAGTCGTGATTTGTTTTTGCCCCTAAAAGGTCTTGTCACGGTCTTGACTTGGTATTGGGTAAGCCGTTTGGCAGAGAAGAATTGGCAAATTCGTTACGCGTGACACCCATAAACTCAGCTCTACTGCTCATCCCACAAATGCATGTTCCTTGCAAATGTGACACCATTTAAAAAAAGGGAAATTAACAGACTTTCCAACTGTATAAGATTTATTGCCAAGAAGCTTTGTTAGCATAAAAAGTAAGGAAACTTGTTTTTAATACTTGTTTCTTTGTGCTAAGGGTTGGATAAAATAAAAAAAAACTGTGCAGGTTTACATAAGTTAAGGACCTTTCCTGGTTCTATGACTGGTTTAAATGTTAAGAGTTCAGGTTTATGAACATCCAAAAGGGATGTAAACAGGATTTAGCAAAGTGAATCCAAACCAAGGTTTTAAAACTTTAGCCTTGTTTCAATTATCTGAGTTTAAATAAGTAAACAAAGAAGTCAATTAAAACTAGCATTCCTAGAAGAAAGTCATATCATCCGCTGCCTTGCAGACCCAAAGTGTGATGGAGATGACTCTCAGCTACTACCACACCAAACTTTAGCTCAAAATCTGTAAAAACAACTGAACTGTAACCATTTGTTGTTTGCTAATGTCTATCAGCTGTAGTGGCCGTCTCAGATTAGGCTGACTCCAAAGGATTATATCAAAATTCATTCCAGTGGTTCATGAGATATTTTGCTAACAGACAAGCCTTAAACACATTTACTATAGTGGAAGTAGATAAGTCACTGCTGGTTTAAGCTTCTGCAGTATCCGTAGACGTTTTATCCATTTCCTTTTAATAATGAGGTTTTAAAATAAATATTATTTTTTTAAATACAGGCTTTTATTCTTCTGTCATGTAGAAGCACTCGAGTTTTTTTCTCCTTTGAGGCAACGCGATTGAACTTTTCACCTGATTTCCTTTTGTTCTGGGAATAAAAATAAATCTACTCTTTTTTTTATTCATCTGCAAATCAGGGATAAAAATACTTCTCCAAACTCATGTTCTGCAGAAAACTGGCASTTGCATCAATCAAGATGTGGAGGAGAAAAGAGAAAAAAAAAAGGCAGAAAAAAGGAATATTTTKAAAAGAGAAAGATGTGGTTAAATTTGAGACGTACCGTTGGATAAGGCCTGCTGCAGCTCTGAGTCTGAGATCACCCCGCTGCGGTCCTTGTCAACCCTGGAGAGGAAAACACTGATTAAATGTCAGCTGCTTTCACCGGTTCACACCAAAACACAATCCAACGCACAAAAGAAGAGAGAAACGCCACTCGCCAGAGGAAACCTTATCCTCCCCTGAGTGTGCGTTCGTGTCAACAGTCCTATGAGGACACACAAAGCAGACTGTATGTTCAAAGCTCAGGGCACTGACCAGACGAGTGTGTGTGTGCGCATGTAAGGAGGAGAGGGATACTAAGCAAACTGAGTCCGACTGTTGACATGTTTCTGTTGATGCTACCAGCTTGGTGTCAAAATACACATTTTAAGCACAATTAAACACAACCAGGGCTTTTGTTTGTAAGYGACAAAAAAAGGCAAAATCAAGACAAAATCTCAGGTTCAACTTGAACCTGAAGAAGCTCGAACTTCAAGCTTCTTTGAAGGCTCACCTGGACGTTTGTGTTGAAGCTGAGTCAGCATCCACAACATATGCCTGTTTTTTTCATTTGTCCATAATAAACATATTCTGCATATTTAACAATTCGCATATCAAAACTCATTCAGGAAATGGGTGCTATGTTTGTTTTATGTAACTTTATTTTTTTTAACTTTACTTTTAAAACATTTYTTCACAGATCCCTAAAAATCATTGTTCTTTGAAACTGATTTTTCTTGAGCTACTTTTAGCTTTAAAGTGTCCTTGACAAGTATATCCTTCTAAAGATTGAAAAAAAGTCAAAGAAAATATTTATATTTAAGAAACTTGATATAAAAACACATGATTTTACATATTTCGTCACAAAACTGGCATATTTTGTTTTGAACTTGACCCAAAGTGAAACAGGAAGTGACATCAAAGAGGAACTCTTGAAGAAAAGGTTTATATTTATTGAAATATTTGAACTCTGGCACTTCTTCATCTCTCTGATAGACTCTAAATAATTTAAAGAAACATCAGATTCTGTGTTGTTATTGTAGCAACGTTTTGTTTACATGCAGACATTCCCCTTTGACATCACTTCCTGTTGCATCAAATGCAAATATCTCAGCAACTGTTCATCTCAGTAACGTGATTTTTTTTTTTTGCAATATGCTACCAGTGTTATCTTTCCAAATATGCATTCATATTTGTTATAATAATTTCATGTCACAGGCACTTTAGGTAATGTCACTTTTTAGCCATGGTTCTGTAAAATGTAGAACTAAAAAAGTGTTTTTCCTCCTTTTAGCTACTGTTCTGCTTCACTTTTGCTACTTTTAGTTACATTTTTGCGTCTGTTTGATCACTTTAACCTCGTTAGGCTCATTTCAGCTCCTGTTTTGATCATTTAAACCTCCATTTTGCTCAATTTAGCATTTTACGGAATAGTTTCCGCTTCATTCAGTGTTCATCTTTTCCCCCTCAGTAAGTTGTGTTTTTAAACCAATTTCCAAAGAAAAGCATGTTTTTGACATTTTCAGTAAAAAAAAACACTAAAAAGGTGGTTTGTTAATTTATTTAAAAGAGGATGTCATTTATTTCATTGCTTGTTAGTTTATATATATAT